GAAACATTTGTACTTGAATTTACCACCGGAATTAGATACATTATTGCCGTTCTTGAAAGACTTATTTCCAGTCTTGGTCTTGTAATACTTATTTTTCTGCCCATTTTTATTCGCATACATAGCTCCTTGTATTTCATTATTATAATTCTGTCGCCTCGAGCTATCCTCTTCCAAAATTTTTATCTTTAATATTTCTACCGCAGGTAAATCGTCGCGAGATTCCATAGCGCATCTAAAATTGTTGTAACTCGCTGGTAAACTATATAATAACAATATTGACAACAAATCCTTATGTATTTCGATTCCGATGTCATTGAGTTTGTCTACAGCGTCCACGAATTTTGAAATATGCTCACGCACATCCTCGCCCTCTTGCATGCGATGTAAAGTTAACTGCTTTAACAAAATTGCTTTACGAGCAGGTCCCTTTGATGCATATATAGACTCGAGTTTCAACCACACATCCCGTGCAGTCACGCACCCTCTTACGTGCTTTAACTCACTGGGACTAATTGATAAAATCAGATCTGCCTTCGCCTTTTCGTCTGCTGCTAACCATTCATCTGTCAATTTTTCATTTCCTGGTGTGGAACAAGGTCTTACAATTCTTCCACTAACGTATTGCCAACCTTCCGTTTTCGTTAACAATGCCTGTACTTGTATTTTCCACGTTTCATAATTATCTTTGTCCAGTAACTCTATTCGCACCGACTGAGCCATAATTATAAAAACGTTTTATATTTACTAGGTTTTGTGCTGGGCTGGGCCCATAACCTGATGAATAATACAAGTTTACTTGGGAAAATATATTTATGAAAGACAATGAAAAATATTTTACGTATGACAGATGTACACCTTTTTTCATAAACTAAAACCAGACTAAAACCAGCCAGTGCACATGTCAGCAGATTACAAACTCCAACAAGAAGAGATTCAAAGATATGTATGTAGTCAACCAATTCGCACTGGGCCAGCGCGGTTAATTATGGCCTGATCACTCCTATCATAAGGTTTAGGCTCCTAGCCCCTCAGTGCGGACGTATAGTCAGCTGATGATCAGTAGACCTAGAGCAATCTCTAGTACTCTTATCATTTTCTGTATTAAAGTTTTCTTTACTTTAACTTTTTATTTTAGTGTTTTTTAGTATATCCACATGAGTTGTCTTGTTCCATGTTATTTTCAATTCTGAAGATTTACTGTATGAGGCAATCTGCAGTTTGTTATCCTTTAAAGGAAGCAAATGTAGGCGGTGTTCATTTGCGTATTCGTTTTTGATAACATGTAATGTATCTTGTATCCTCTATAAGACGAAATTCATGCGTCGTTAAGTAAAATTTTCTGCCTCATTACCAGAAAAAATGTTACTACGATCGTAATTTGTTAAGGCGTGTTTACTTACGTATTATCATTTTCTTCGTTACGAAAAATACTTATTTTTTGTCAATTGTAATATACGAATTATCACGCCTCAAATGTTAAATTCAAATTATTTCCGACAGGAAGTTTATTATGTCCTACAATTTATTAGCGATTTAAAAAGTTACAATGGTCAAATAGTGAATAACATTTTACACATATTTTACACAACATAACAAACTATATCGCAGAATACACGATTAATCACCTACGATTTTGGCTGTTTTTGACTGTTTTATAGCAATTATATTTCACAAAACATTCCTTGAACTTGAAAACTAAAACACTGATAGAGCACTGTCACTTCTCTAGCCTTTGTTAAGCATCGAAGTACAGTCCTGTTTTATAAAAAGACATGTATTATGAACTTGCAAAGTGAGCTAAAAATTTCGTTTTTCTCTTCTAAAAGTGAAAGATATAATTTCATATTATAGAAGAATGTGATAAAGAAGTATATTAATTAAGAATAATAACTAATCATACTCAAGTCTTTGTTTCTTATACAATGGACCTTATTTATTATAAGGAATGCGTAAACTTTGATTAATTACCATAGTTGTTCCGCAAATAAAAAGCAAGAAATTATAATAACAGTGATAAAAAATATTACACAATAGTTTTAAAGAAATATGATTAACGTAGTCTGGAAGAACATATAGGCTACTTATTAATTTTTTTTTAATCAGCGGACGGAGTCGTGGGCGAAAGCTAGTATCTAATAATCATTTGGAGGCGATATCTATAATTGACGGACGCAATATGTTGTTGTGAAAAATACAACCGTGGCTTTCCATTGTCGAAATCCCTTCTAATAACATATTGTTATCCCTTTTATTCGTTTTGACAAAATAGAGACAACAATAATTACTGTTATCGACCGTCAGAATAATTGCACTGTTTAAGAATGTTTTTCTTAAATTGTGAATGTGATGAAAAAAGTAAAATATAATCGATCCGTGACCGATTAGTTGTCGGCAATATCAAACAAAACACATTACAGCAAACACATACGTGCAGTTTCGAAGGTTACTAGACATTGTGATCGTACACATTTAATTATTATTTGTCGGATCGTGCTATAGTCTGACATAATTACAGATTTTATGTGCAAGCTATTCTGTAATATTCGTGGATTTGTCATATTAGTGTATACATAATTATTAGCTTCACATAAATGCACTATTCGCACTTGTTGTTTACGTATGAAGTTGTTTTTTGATATATGTCCTTTGTTTAACACTTTAAAAAGAAAAAATCAATACGTAAATGTTTATAAATTAATTACAATTTACTATGTATAATATCATTATGTTTTTAATAAACAAAATGCGTTTAACATTAGATCTTTACTTTCGACAGATTAAATAGTACATTTATTAAAATTGAATCATAAAAAAATGGCGTATTATAAAAAAATTACAGTCGGATTCAACTATAATTTTTAATTACAATTTGTTACCCATAAATTGGCAATGAAAACCAAGAGCTACATCGATAAGTACAATATATTAAATTACGGATACAATTCAGATTACCTCGTTAAAAATGTTAAACAAACAAAATTAAAAGTATATAAAAAATGTGAAAACCCAACAACTTATATACCTGGTGTTTGCTTTGATATATCAGTTTTTTTCCATATAAAAACTGTAGTTAACATTTACTTAAGTGTAAAAAAATCAATATCAACACGTAGAAGAAGTGCCATGAAGAAGGGTTCCGTATTAAGTAATAGTCCAAACCCTGGAATTTCTGGACTGACAACTGTATTAACACAGTAACTATCGCCCTGGACACTCCTTTCGCTTGGTATAATAAAAGCTTAATTTGTAACCTATGGGTTGCTCCAAACTATAAGTTCTACATCTATGAAATTTGAGCAAGATCCATGCAGCTGTTCTATACATCCATATACGTCCAAACATTTGCATATGTTATTAACATAAGTATGCAGCAGTCCAAACCCACAGAAGACTTCACTACTTTACATCCAGATTGAAATATATAATACTACTCTTCTAGAAGTGAAGTCGGTAAACTTCGTCATAAGTAACTTCAAAAATAATTGAATTTTATCGAAGTCCTGCTTATTTATTTATTTATTCTATTATAACATTACATTTTTATATCATTAACATTACCAAATTTTCTAAACGTTTTTGTATTTTGTCCTGTGAACCCAAAAAATAAAAACAATGGTTTGGTCAGTAATATTTATAAAGTTACTTATTTCCTTTTATGGCATTGAATTTTAATTACGTAACACATAATAACAGGGTTAATTACGTTTGAAGCGTATTTTTCATATTTTTTTCAATAAATAATGTTTTTTTGATTTAAAAGTAACAAAGTAAGCTTTGTTGTATAAACGACAAGCTGTCGCCCGTGGCTCTATACGCACGGAATGAAAAAAAACCTAATTACTAGCCTATGTGTTCTTCCAGGCTATGTTCTACATCTATGCCAAATTTCAAAGAGATACACCCAGCCGTTCTGGAGATAAATTCGAACAAACATATATACATCCATCTATCCAACTAAACATTTGCATTTATAATAATGGTAAGAAGTAAGATAGGAATTTATAATTTATAGCGGACCCAACAGACGTTGTCTGACAATTTGACACTGCGATGGTAGCGCCGTCTGTTGGCTCCGATGTAAAACATTCCAAAATCAACAACTACTAATACATTAAAAATTAATTAAAAAAAACATTGTCCAGCGGACAAAATTGTGAATCTAAACCATTCCCAGATCCCCTTGAACACACACAAAAAAATTCATCAAAATCGGTCCAGTCGTTTGAGAGAAGTTCAGTGACATACACACTCACAGAAGAATTATATATATAAAGATTGGATGAAGCCGCCATAAGTTGCAATGCCAAAGTAAAAATGACACGAATAGTCTAATCTAAATACATAATAATCAAATATCGTATTATTAAATTAAATATTCTTTTATGGCCCAGTGACATTAAAATTACGGAAGATATGTCGTACATAGATACAGCCATCAGACGTCTGTCTCAATTTAATGCAATCGCGTTGAAATCGGACGATATTACAGATGCAGTGTCAGGGACAATTTATTTTCGACACATACAATCACATTTCAAGACACAAGCAATTTATTCAGCCAATTTCGAAATCTCTTCGAAAACTGCGGGTATGCAAAAAAGTTTGAATAGTAAATAATAAAGAATATAACACAATAGAAAAAAAGTTACCTGTTTTTGTTGTGTTTTTTACAAAAAAAAATAATTGCTACTCTACCTTCTAAAGTCAAATATTTAAATTAAACTTAAACATACAAACAAAGCTCTTACTAATTATTATTAACTCTAAGAAATAGTGTCAAATGTGAATATAAAATTACTAAATTAAATTTTTAAATCAACGAAAATTGTTGCTCCTTTTGGCATATAAATATCCAAATAATTTTTGCAGTTTGCACAATTTTAGAAGTATTCCGATTGCATATTACTCAATGGATTTTTATTTCTAATACTAATAATTTATTAATATTAAAAAAATTATAACCTAAAAAAATTAAATTAATTTAGCTAGAAATTACTTACTTTTTATGTGCAATACTTTTCTGACGAATACTATTGACAGCCTTCGCTCCTTAATTAAAACAGTTTATAATTAACACTTATTTTACGGCATCGATTATATAGAAAATAATTTATCGAATATTTTTAAAAAATAAATTTAGCATCGCGGGCTACACGTCGTATTTAAAAATAAACATACATTCAACCTCGGCGACGCATGCCGACGCACTGGCTTGAAATAAGATTTGTTGTCAATGTTAGGAACGCGCCGGCATAATCCGACCGATTTGAAACTGCAAGCAATTATTTCTAGATAAGAACATTTAAGTTACAACACAATTAAGTAGGTTATTAAATATTTCACTTTCTAACTGATAGCATCGCTTTGTACTGGAAAACAAAGTAAATGATTATTAACTAATGAAGTGCTAGGAGGGGCGGTGATTAAACGCGGTCACATTTACACACGTCAATACTTGTGTTATTTATATGTAGTCTTATATACTTAAAATGTACTTAACTTTTAATAACTTTCAATCTGAATAACCGTGGGTTTCTGAATCCGAAATCTCCGTTTAAAAAAATATCGTATGTCTGTCTTTTATATAGAAATTTTGTTGTCAGAAACCCACTGTTAGTTAATTAAGAAATGATGGATATTATACCGTTGGGGACTCTAGAAATGTGCTTAGAGAATACAATTTTATTATAAATAGCTTTGAAGAATGTGTAAGGTAAATAAAAATAAACGAATTCAAGTAGTAATATAAAGTAGCAAATAATACAAAAATGAACAACATGTTATTATCACTTATTTACTGTATCTGACAACTTTAATTTATATATCTTCATGTACCTATTATGTAATAATATTAAAAATAAAAATTGATTTTATATAAACCAGCAATTTGTTTTTAGATTAATCTACTTAAAATACATTGATAATTTTAATGTATAGAAAATTATTTTGACAGCTGCTGTATATCAAGGAGTATGGAAATCAGCTCACTATATGTACTAAGGGGCTCGGAGCCTACCCTAAGTTGGGGCTGCCTAGGCCATGTTCAATCAAGCTGGCCCAATGCGGGTTGGTTACTTCACACATGTCTTTGAATTTCTTCTCAGATATGTGCAGGTTGCATCACGATGTTTTCCTTCACCGCAAGCAGTACGAAAACAAAACATATATAGGTGTAGTTTCTCGGTGAAGGACAATACAGGTTCATAAAAAGAATATATAATTGTAATGGTATAAAGGTACATATTTATGTACATATATTAGCGTCATGAATGTTGTTTGTTCTGCATAAATCTTATAATAACAACATAACCTACGCCTGTATCCAAGAGGGGTAGGCAGAGACCAAGGAGCTCCATTTGGCACGGCCCTAACACAATCAAACAAATAATCAAGTTTCTCCTCTGGGATAGCAAATCTTTATCGGCATAGATTATCCCATGAGATATAGTACGTTTATTTTACTCGTATGTTTAGGCTTATGTATACGTACCAAGCGACAGATAGATGTTTCATTCTATACTCTACTCTACTTAAGAAAATGTGGCATCAATAATCTGAAGAGAAAAATACATTATTCTTTTAGTTATTTTTTTGGAATATTTAAAGTCAAGCATCACGCCTGAGTCTTATTTTAAAAATACCCGTTTATTTTGTTACGAATTGTTTAGAAATACTTGGGACTTATAAATTGATGTCCTCGCTTTTGTTTACATACAAAATGACTTTCATGGTTTTTTATATTGAAATATGAATATTTATTTAATAATACCATGAATGTCATCTTTAGACATGTGACCTAGAAGTAGTGTATTATTTCGTTTTAACTATGTCCATATTAGAAGTTATCGGAACTATTTTATAACCTAAGTAATTATATTTCTTTCACGGTCATCATAATATGTGTTGTATGTCATAGGTCAAATGGGAGCAAACACGGCCGGTTTGATACTTAATAGATAAGAGATTTGTTTGGTATTCTTCCATTCACGCTGATGAACTTTATTTGGGTATGTTTAACTTAAAAATATAGACAGTTTTGTTGTTCTTTACATTATTTCTAATATGTCTATGGATAATTATATATAAAATATTTTTTTTACTGGCTACATTATTGGTTTTTCCGTCTCCATAAGGTTTACGGTCGTTGACCTTCCACGTGTTAAATCGTACTTATCGTTTTTGCTTATTGGAGTGTCAAGAGTCGAGTTGATTTTGAAAATCGAATTCAATTTTTTTAACAAAAAATACGAGTAATTCAAATTCGATGGATCATGTATTAAACAGTTTTATTATCTAAAAGGGTTATTAAGAATGTGCCCTTGATCTTTTAACAATGTCAATGTGCCTTTGATTAAGAGTTCTTTGTAGTATCGAGGCAAAAAGTTCATACTTTGCTACTTATTTTTGCATACGAGTATTAAGGTCATACAGATGACATCCAATTTAATATTATTATCGAAATAAATCATCATAAAAGAAACTATGATTAATAAACCATGATTAATAAATAAAACTTTATGGTATTTTCGATATAAAAGTGTTCTTTAAAAAATCTCTTAGGTACATTAACTTTTTGGTAAGAATATAAAAATATATTTTTCTATCTAATGTTTATGTTTATGAATCTACTTTTTATCTGTTTTGTGATATTGCAAAATAAAATAGGACAAGTTACATCTTTTTGTCGCAATCGGAATTTTAATGTAAAAAAATTAAAATATTTAAAACTATTGGAGGAATGCTGAGGGTTATTATATTTCACACTATTTCAACACACAATGGTATGCATACAAATTTTACAAAAAACTTTACACTAAAAACTACAAAAAAAGCTTGCAGGATTATGTAACATATCAAATAGATTTGATATGTGTAAATTATTACGTGCAATTTTTTTTAATGCTTCAGTGTGGAAAGCTATGATTATAAAATGCCACTTGATCTATTTATAGTCAGTTTCTCGAAACTTTTGTTAGTTCTGTTTAAGTTTACCCTCACGGGAATAGTGAGACTGTCTGCTTAATGTTATCATTCATAAATATGTTAAAACTACCGGTAAATACCTCAGTTTAGTATTAAACAATACATTCTTATTTACTCAGACTGTTTACAAAATACTTATATTTACTATGCAGTGATTTCCTTATTTCTTTTGTCTTTATTATTGTTGTTGTCTATATTTTCTTAATCTTCGGTAACAAGTTATCGTTACAAGAACTAGTAATAAGTCAACAGCAAATGTACTATCATGGAATCCGGCGGTATTCCACAGTCGTTTGAACATTTCGTAAGTATCGTAACAACGTGGAAACAATGACCAGCTTTTAAATGTAGCTACAAAAAAGGCTGTTAATGGTATTTTATGACGTATTTTACGTAACTTATTTCTATCTAATAGGTTATTTTGTAAGAAGGGGCGATGTAGCTCGGGCAATTTTTCTGTATGTGAAGCACTGCGAAATGCTCTGACTGTACGTCATGTTAAGAATAAAAAAGATAAGCGTTAATTCTTTTATTTTGATAAAACTGGGACTGTCGTCATTTATATCTAGATTCCGGACGTCGTTTTTCAATTATTATATTTCTCTATCTATGAAAAAAAAAACGAATTTGTTTTTAATAGTTTAGATGTCAAGAAAGTACCGAGATTCTTCCTATTACACATGGCACATTGACTATATAATTGGGGTTACCAGGTAACTACTAGTAACTAGCAGTAAGAATTGATGTTCGTGTGATCATACGGAAGAGTATTGCATCACATATGAGTAGCGTGCGTGCTCTTTCCAGCAATAATAAACATGCGGAAGGTAAGGATGAATGAGTGTTTTATTTTTGCATAAATTGTTGCAACATGATACTACAGTTCAGGTTTTTGGTAACAATTTTCTGTTTTCATATTTATCTTTGACATATATTCGCCTTTCGTTATATTTTTTTTCATAAAATATTAGTAGATTTTTGTAAAGTTAATAACATTTCATGTACCATTCTAATCAAGCTCTAGACTTGTCATAGGATATGGTTCACGACAATAGTCGAATGGCGAGATTCAAACTCTCGATCACGTGATCGGAATTCCCTTACCTATTAGGCTTCTATTACTACAATAGTCTACCTATTAAGTCACTGTTCATGTTTAATTTTATTTGTAAATTGTGGATAAAATTTTACTATGAATATTTTAGTCCTATTAAACTTCAAAATCATTAGAAGTAGAGCCCTTAAAATAATTTACTGACAATTGTGCTATTGTAATTGAGAAGAGACACAAGGTCAGTGGGCCAATGCGAGGTCGCGGTGAATCAACAACCCAATTGTACAGATCAATCGAAAGAATGAAAAATAATTCCTTGCCCTATACTATACGATATTTAAACATGCAAAGAAACATCGAAAATTCTCTGAGTTGAAAATGTTTGAAACAAATATCGGAATAAGCACAACCTTTGCAACCTTTGAAGTTAAAATAAAAAATAATTTATTAAAAAATACTACACCCTTGACTAAAGGATGTAACAATGAAATATATACATCATAAATGTTATAAAATTATAACAAGCAAAATTTAAAAGCTTTTAGAAATTTCGATAAAGCGTGGTAAAATGGCATATTGTTTTGTTATTTTAAACAAAAATTTGCACCGATAGGTGATCGAACCCATGTTGTTTGTGAATATTTTAAGGCAAACATAAGACCATTGACCTGCGTCTTTTATTTTATCATTTAAACAAAAACGATGCTTTATATCAACACGACTACGGATTTAAATAACACATCCAGAAATAGGTTAGTACAATTTATTTCTAGATCTATCTACGGTGGTAAAAACAAACTTTGAAAGTTTTTTTTTAATAAAATGTAAAATAATACTGTGAACATTGTGGCATTGTATAGGGCTATCTTAGCTCGTCCTAATAAACTTCGGATGTTTCCTGTTGAGCCGAAATGCTTGGCTTACTGTTTTACAAAAACACTCTTTGAATTAAACCAACTCATACTGGTACACAAATGTACTACATATACATATATTAAGTTTGGAATTCATATATTTGCAATAAGTACAAAACTATTCTAACTTACATATATGGAGAGTAAATACTCT